TAAACGTGGTGCTCCTGGGCTTGCCGCCGGTTACAAGTGGCCCAAAGGCTTCTGGAAAAACGGGATTTGTAACAAATATGCCTTCTTCTCGTGAGATACTGGATCAGCATCCCGTTTCCCGAGGCAGCGGGTTGCTGTGTGTACAAGGAAGAAGGTGCCTGCCCGCTTGCTGTTAATCCATGCAAGCTGTCGCACCAGTTTTCTCAATGTATGCTTGGATGATGGAGCCTCCGCATACGCAGACGATTGTCTTACTATAATTTTTCTATTGTTACAGCTTACTATGGTGCATGGTCAAAGATTAGTCAGTGTCACTGAAAACCCGTTTCTTTAAAGAAATGTGGAGTCTGACAGCATAGTGCCTTTCAAATGGAACTGTACTCTCAAATTGTGATTGGGTTTTTTTGTGCGCTACTACCCATGCTCTCAGTTTAAATCCCCTTTTTGCGGCCTCGCTGTCTGTGATGCCATGGAGAAATTGTATTATGTCACAGTTACTTAGTTGCAATATGTCATCCCAATTGTACATTCTCTACAATCTGCATCCTGATTCTGAAACCTTTTCCCAAGAACATGCAGTTTTATAAAGTTGGCAACACTTTCACTGCTTGTGAAAACTGATTTCATTCCACTAGTGATTGCTTTATGGGCGTGCAATCGCAGATTCAAAGAGGAGGGACAGCACAAATAATATGAATGCCACCCTCTCAGTTCTAAAATGACACTGAAAAAATAAAAGGATATCAGATTTTGAGAATTTCAGGATTCCATTTACCAGAAATAAGGGACAAAACTTTATTTGAAAACCGAGGATTTGAGATTAGAGGGAGTTAGAGCAAGTTTCCTTTCTCTACTTGCTTATATACATTGTTCCCTCTCCTGCTAGATCTGAGCTGCATAAAGCAACGCACGAGCCTTAAAAATTGTCCTTTTTGGGGCCAGATAAGCTTGTCATTTCTAGCTTTCATTGGCAGTCCATTAAATGTGCTGCAAAGTCAATATTGCTTTCTTTCTTCCTTCCTCTGCCCAAGAAAGCAGTGAGTAGGGCTGATAATGCCTAAAGTCTTGAAGCTGGGCTAGAGGAGCTCACATCCCTGGGGCCTACATGTGCAGTTAAGAGCCTTTTTTTGATTACTTTCTCCAAGTAGAATTTCTCTTACCCCAGTTGTCCAATATCCCCCAAGAATTATTTTTCAGATGTAGCATTTTCCTTGACTGTTATTCCCAAAAGTGCTCCACTGAGCAGGGAAGCTGGTTCACACCTTTAAAAAATGATGACCTTGTGCACGGTTTTACTCTCATATGGCAGACACCTTTGGCTCTTCCCCTGGTCAGAGCAGTAGCTTTTCTTCCTACTCAGTGTGTGCACTCCCGAGTGATTTAGAGCAAAAGACTCTGCAATGTCTGTCACTTTTGTAAGGGAAGCACCTCAGCTTTAGCTGAGACTTAGCTGAGAACACTTTAGCTGGGTTCATACTTGCATTTTTCATCAATACTAATACTAAAAACAGGTAGATGAAGCGAGACAGGATGCAGCCCAGTTCAGGTTCCAGCTGACTAAAGAAAAAAAAAGGAAAAAAAAAGGAAAAAAGGAAAAAAAAAGGAAAAAAAGAAAACGGAAAAAAAACTTGTTTAAATTTCTGTCCTGTTTATAAGTCTGGCAGTAGCAGAGTAGTTGCAGACACTGTTAGCCAGCTACCATAATCCTTCTAGGTCTGCCCCTGGCATGCACAGGCATATTCCAGGTTTAATGTATAAAGACTGTTCTGTCACCAAAGTCTTCCAATGTACATTTACAGAAGAGACTGAAGGCTCATTTGTGGCCCAGGTACTAGATTTTACCTAAGTTGCTCTGGTGTTGACAGCAATTTGTGTCAGATTGCAGCTGAAAACTGGACCAGCATCCCCCAGGGACTCCAGGATTAATATTCACTCTGAGCGTTAACCTGCACTGATGACTCCTTGCTGCCTCCAGCACCTGTACCATTGCATGTGCTACCTTACTTAGAGCTGTGTCTGCCCACACTATAATCACCTTCTCACACATCTGTGTGGACCTGGTTCCATCCTCAGAAAAACTGGCAAGGCCTTCACATACAGAGGAGACAGCAGACTGATACACATCTGCACCTCTAGCCCCCTTGAATCCCCGTAAGAGGAGATGCTTGTGTAAGCATGGGCATCCAGTAAAAATTTTATGCCCAGCAAGTACAGAGTCTAAGGAGACAAAAAGAATAGCATGTGTAACATTATCTTTAAAGCTGCCACCCCAAGAATTGGTGATAAAGAGATAGGACAAATGCTAAGAAATTTGCTTGGTGGTGGGTAAAAACATGTATCGTGGAGAAGAAAGAAGGATGGAGAGCATAATTGATTGAATCAAGCTGGTTAAGCCAGGAAATAATGTAAAATGAGCAAGAACAGGGAAATTGGAGAGAAAATAAATGTCATTGAGAGGAAGGAAGAAAGGAGTAATAGGAGGAGAAGTGTACTGTACACTGAAGAGCATTAGATTACAAAAAATAGCATCTTACATGTTAAGGGAAAGTCAAAACGAGGGAGAACATA